AAGTAGACAAAAAGTAGGTAACTATAGGCCAGTTAGCTTAACTTCGGTAGTGGGGAAAATGCTTGAATCTATCATTAAGGAAGAAATAGCAAGACATCTGGATATAAATTGTCCCATTGGGAACACCCAGCATGGGTTCATGAAGGGTAGGTCATGTTTAACTAATTTGGTGGAATTCTTTGAGGACATTACTTGCGTGGTGGACAATGGGGAACCTGTGGATGTGGTGTATCTGGATTTCCAGAAGGCATTTGACAAGGTGTCACACAAAAGGCTGCTACATAAGATAAAGTTGCATGGTATTACAGGTAATGTATTGGCATGGAAAGAGGATTGGTTGACCAGAAGAAAGCAAAGAGTAGGGGTAAATGGGTGTTTTTCTGGTTGGCGGTCAGTGGCTAGTGGTGTGCCTCAGGGATCAGTGTTGGGACCTCAATTGTTTACAATTTACATAGATGATTTGGAGTTGGGAACTAAGTGTGGTGTGTCAAAATTTGCAGATGACACTAAGGTGAGTGGTAGAGCAAAGTGTGCAGAAGACACTGAAAGTCTGCAGAGGGATATAGATAGTCTAAGTGAGTGGGCAAAGGTCTGGCAGATGGAGTACAATGTTGATAAGTGTGAGGTCATCCATTTTGGTAGGAATAACAGCAAAATGGACTATGTTTTAAATGGTACAAAATTGCAGCACGCTGCTGTGCAAAGGGACTTGGGTGTCCTTGTGCATGAATCGCTGAAGGTGGGATTGCAGGTGCAGCAGGTGATTAAAAAGGCAAATGGAATTTTGTCTGCCATCGCTCGAGGGATGGAGTTTAAAAACAGGGAGGCTATGCTGCAGCTGTATAGGGTCCTGGTGAGGCCACACTGGAGTACTGTGTCCAGTTTTGGTCTCCTTACTTGAGAAGAGATATACTAGCACTGGAGGGGGTGCAGAGGAGATTCACTCGGTTGATTCCAGAGTTGAGAGGGTTGGATTATGAGGAGTGACTGAGTAGACTGGGCTTATACTCATTGGAATTCAGAAGAATGAGGGGAGATCTTATAGAAACATATAAGATTATGAAGTGAATAGACAAAGTGGAGGCAGGGAGGTTGTTTCCGCTAGCAGGCGAAACTAGGACTAGAGGGCATCGCCTCAAAATAAAGGGAAGCAGATGTAGGACTGAGGTCAGGAGGAACTTCTTCACCCAAAGGGTTGTGAATCTGTGGAATTCCCTGCCCAGTGAAGCGGTTGAAGCTACCTCGCTGAATGTTTTTAAGGCAAGGCTAGATAAATTTTTGAACAGTAAAGGAATTAAGGGTTATGGTGAGCGGGCGGGTAAGTGGAGCTGAGTCTCAAAGATCAGCCATGATCTTATTAAATGGTGGGGCAGGCTCGAGGGGCCAGATGGCCTACTCCTGCTCCTAGTTCTTATGTTCTTATGAAGTTGAATGTTTGGTGTCTGGGTAGCCTGTGCTGGATAGCATGAGGTGTAAAAGTTAGTTTCAGTCTAGATTCAACACAGTATGGAGCTGGAGGAACACAGCAGGCCAGGCAGCATCAGAAGAGCGGGAAAGTTGACGTTTCAGGTCAGGACCCTTCTTCAGAAAATGACTGCAGTTCTTGTTATCTTTCAGTCTAGAGTGTTAGGTTTAGTTGATTGTTCTGTTGGAGTGGAGGTGTAAATGAGAATTCCAGGCTGAACAATGGTTCCAAGCAGCCATCTCTCTGTTTGTGTATTTTTCCCAGAGCTCAGCCCAGCTGTCCCCTTTACTTTTACATCTAAAAGTTTTGAAAAGTCCAGGGTCTTGACTAGCATTTTAGATTATGGGAATTTTTGCTCAATCCTACACTATCTAATGAAACCTTAAGAAATGGTTGAATATTGCAGAAATAGCTCTCGTTGTCTCTCCCTTAATATGAAAAATTCTTCAGTCTTCCAGAACTGATGTGGATGCAAAATAGCAGTCATGATAGACTGACATTTTCTTCACACTGTTGTTTACATTTTCATCATGGCTGTTAATCGACCAAGGACACAACATAGAAGCTGGTGTTAACCATTGTGCGGGTGAAATTAATCCAGATGTCATTCCAAGAGATAAGGAAGGGGTTTCCTCAAGGACTAGGGTTGGGGTAGGAAAGCTTCATCTTAGCTACCTGTTTCTTGGTAATTGGATAATTGGGTGGGAACTTAATTTAATGAATCATTGGTATCAAGTACTCACCAATCTCCAAAAAAAACAGGCAGTAAAGAAGTAAACAGCATAGGTATGGGGAAGAAGCTTTTTTGGGTTTTTTGCTTTGGCTTAATTCACTCAACAGCCTCAACACATGCACGCGATTTTTTATGGCAGGCAGCAAAGACCAGGCTACTCTGCCTATCCATTCTGAGATGATGTCATGCCCAGTAAAGGTCATAATCTTAAAAATACATACTTTGTGTGGAATCTTCTGGAACTGACTTCTTGTTGAAATTGATATTGATGACTGCACAAGATGGGCACTGTGAGTTATCCAGCATGGTCTGTGAATTCAGAAAATACCATGCTATCTTGAAAAGACAGATTCCAGGCTACTGGTCTCAATAACCATTCTCTGAACCCATTCACAATGTATTTCCTGTCGTTAATGGGTTGTTCTGGAACAAAAACTGTTGGTGATTGAACCACCAGTAGGGATAAATGTCTGCAAACTATAATCCAGAATGTGGCAATCAAATTAACTCAACACTACATGTGAGAAAGGGAACTGTGAGAAACCATGTGGTAAAGCAGTCACTATTGCCCTTCCTTTCGATCTTAAGTGTTGTCTGCAGAAACACTGTATACAGAAACAATAGCAGCAGAAAGAGCATTTACATCCCTGCTTTAAGACTGCAGTTTAACATCATCAATTCTCTAAGCCTGTTCCTTTTCAAACCAACCTACTGGTAACAGGATTGCAGGTAATTTACTTTGTGAGCTGCAGAAAGTACACTCCTTTCAGAGAATACTGAAATGACTCTGATTTATGAATTTAGTTATTGAATTCACTTAGACTACACTTCTGAAGTGAAAACATCTTCTTCCTGAGACTCCAATGCATGTTTTCCAAGATGGACCAATCACTTCAAATTATGCCTAGTATTTTATTTATAAAGCATAAAAGTGCACTATTCTTGGTGAATGTACTTTTTTCTTGGGTGCATGTATCTTTAGATCTTTGGGGTGAAAGCATGAATAAATAAAATCCTGATCAGTTAAATGCAGGAAATATTTGCTGCTGATTATTCAAATTGCCCACACATTAAGGTGTTTAGAAACTCCTTCCTTTAAAAAAAACACACACACAGATTATGGACAATAAGGGAAGAGAATAGGTGTCTCATTTCTCTCTTGTCCTCACCTGTCACAGGTCATAAGCATCCCTTATTTACTCTAATTATGTGTTACATTTGAGCTATGTTTCTCAACACAACATATTAAATTAAACTGCCCTGTGACTCCTACTTATGTTTGAGTAACCTGTTAGCCTTGATAAAATCTTAGTGTTTTCAAAGTATTCTCTGGCTGATCTGCCTTACAGGTACATGGATAGAAAGGTTGAGAGGAATATGGGCCAAACACAGGCAAATGGGACCAGTTTAGGAATCCTGGCTGGCATGGATGAGTTGGGTTGAAGGGCCTGTTTCATGCTGTATGACTCCATGACTCTATCTCTCAGTAGTTACTTAATATTCAAAGCTGAGATGGACAGATGCTTAATCTAAGGAAATCAAGGGTTATGGGAAAAGACAGAAAATTGGAGTTGAGGATTATCAGATTAGCCATGATCTCATTGAATGGCAGAACAGACTTGGTAGGCTGAATGGCCTACACTGCTCCTGTGTTCTATGGTGGTGTGTTCTTATTCAACCCAATATTACCCAAAACCACGTGGGTACCTTAACCTGTTGTTCCATGTAAGAGTTCAATATTGTCTTTAGTTTTATGCTTTCATTTCTCTAGATTTCTTAGCTTGTTCACATGAAGTTGTTTATCCAGAACAGCTATATCTGCGGTTTTGATTACAAAGGAATCAGTCATATCCACTCTCCTCACATGTTGGTTAATAGCAAACAGTTAGAATCCATTCCCTCATATCCCTCAACTTTTTATGCCAAGTTTCTAGTTATGTGCACTTACCTGCTCTAAGTGCTTGCACTTGAACTTCATTGACCAACCCTAGCTTTGTAATACAACATTTAGCGTGTGTATCCTTTCTATGTCGTTCATTATTTTCTAAATCTGCTGTCCTTCATAGTTTAATCTAAATGACCAATTCTTTTACATCTTAATTTACACTTTTTACATCTCGTTTTACCTTTGTCTACTATTGCAGTTGGCCTCTGTACCATCTGTCCTCTCAGTCTTCCTCTACCTCTGTCAAAAACCTAATGCCAACCTGCTGACTGCATATGACAGAATTCAGAAATCAAACCTAGAACACACTCCAGAACAAATCAACGCCTTGCAGACCCTGTGTATCTTTCTTATTATGCACCCCGGTTATCTGTAAGATCGGCGCGTACGCACACAGACGCATAAAATTACATACCTACTTTTCAATATAAAAGAGTACCATTTCCTTTCTGATTTCCAGGCTGAGTTTTGTGGATGGTCCATTCCTGAATATGAGAAAGTGAGGTGTAATCTGGGAAGTACAGAGGAAATTGACTGATTTCCCTGCTCCTCTGATGCTGCTTGGTCTGCTGTGTTCATCCAGCTCTACACCTTGTTATCCACCATGCTATGTGTTCTCTTTCAATGTACGTAATTGGATCTAGAAAGGTGAAACTGAAGCAGAAAAGTGATATCTAACCCGTGTTCAATGAACAGAATGGAAGTGTCAAGCTGTTCAAAGCCGCTGGTATTAATGCATTATGATTATATTTCTCTTTGGAACTGGGGTGCAGGTGATTTATTTCCAATCTGTTCCCAGATGATTCTGTTTAAAGGGACAGAATTTGTCGAGACTATTCTCACCTGACCCCGTCCCCTCCAATCAGAGAGCTCCCTGGTTAGCATTCTCCTATTGGCTTGCTCGGGCTGCCCGTCAGTGACATTGAGAACATTGCAATTTGTTGAGCCTCTTTCAATTACAACAACATCGGACAAGACTGGTTCCGTGATTTTCTGTTACTGAGTAATGTCCAAACATGTCCGGCAGTAGGAGGAAGAGGCGATTTCGCTATTCTGCTCAAGGTAACGAAGGGGCTGTGACCTGAATAACTTTTTGGCTGGTTTCTTTTATTTTGTATTGTAAATTTGGACTTTTTAACTCCTCTCAACTTCATTCCTCGCCTGAGGAGTGGTGACTCTCGGGTTAAACTCACCACCAGTCGTTTCTCTCCAATGAAAGAACAGTTCTACGGGACTGTGGCTATTTTACTTTTTATTGTAGATTTGGATAATGCCCTCCTTAACTAGACTGTTGCAAGCTGGCATCTCACAGATGGTGTGAAAGCTTTTTTTTTACTGAGCGACTAAATAAACCAGTTGCGTTTTGCTTTTTTCTTCTAATGAATTGACAGTGTTTAATTTGACTGTGCCAGCTTTGAAACATTGGAAAACCTGGAATCAGCCTTTGCAGAAAACCATCAATAAATTTATTTATGGCCTTCGTTTTAGTATCGTATACTTGCACATCATTGTATGTCAATGTGGATTCCCTAAGCTATTAGAGGAGCACAGTAAGTCTTGCAGAAATGTGCTGCAAGGCTGTCCTCTAGCACCCGTTTTTGCTTCAAGCCCCAGTGGAGATATTTTGAAGATCTTATCTCATGTGCTTTTAAGACGAGGTGTTAAATCTTCAAGATCCCCCTGTCCTCTTGGAAATGTCAACTGTCCATTACGTTTTTTCCATTTTCCTTGGTAGAATTATGTATTTGTGACTTTATTCTATCATGGAAAGATGGGAATGAATAAACTGGGAATGACCTATGACGACTGCTACTGAAAAATAATTAGCCCAAAACATAAACTCTGTGTCCTAACAGATGCTGCCAGACTTGCTGAGTATTTCCAGCAGTTTCTGTTTTCACTTCATCTGCTTTTATGTGGGATAATGTCTTTATTTTTGTTTATCAATGCTGTGGTTTTGCAGGATGATTGCAGTTGAGTCCTTGAGCTGTGTAATTTAGATGCATGCAGCTGATGTGGAAAGTGGAGAGATATGACTTGATGTGACTTTGTTAAACTTGCAAAGTTATCTATTTATATGGATATGCAATATGAATGCCAGCATCCAGTTTAGAACACAGAACATAGAACATTACAGCGCAGTACAGGCCCTTCAGCCCTCGATGTTGTGCCGACCTGTGAAACCAATCTGAAGCCCATCTAACCTAAACTATTCCATTATCATCCATATGTTTATCCAATGAACATTTAAATGCCCTTAAAGTTGGCAAGTCTACTACTTTTGCAGGCAGGGCATTCCACGCCCTTACTACTCTCTGAGTAAAGAACCTACCTCTGACATCTGTCCTATATCTATCACCCCTCAATTTAAAGCTATGTCCCCTCGTGCTAGCCATCACCATCCGAGGAAAAAGGCTCCCACTGTCCACCCTATCTAATCCTCTGATCATCTTGTATGTCTCTATCAAGTCACCTCTTAACCTTCTCTCTAACGAAAACAGCCTCAAGTCCCTCAGCCTTTCCTCATAAGACCTTCCCTCCATACCAGGCAACATCCTGGTAAATCTCCTCTGCACCCTTTCCAATGCTTCCACATCCTTCCTATAATGCGGTGACCAGGACTGTACGCAATACTCCAAGAGCGGCCGCACCAGAGTTTTGTACAGCTGCAACATGACCTCATGGCTCCAAAACTCAATCCCTCTACCAATAAAACCTAACCTACCGTACGCCTTCTTAACAACGCTATCAACCTGGGTGGCAACTTTCAGTGATCTATGCACATGGACACCGAGATCTTTCTGCTCATCCACACTACCAAGAATCTTACCATTAGCCCAGTACTCTGTATTCCTGTTACTCCTTCCAAAGTGAATCACCTCACACTTTTCCGCATTAAACTCCATTTGCCACCTCTCAGCCCAGCTCTGCAGCTTATCTATGTCCCTCTGTAACCTGCAACATCCTTCCGCACTATCCACAACTCCTCCGACTTTGGTGTCATCCGCAAATTTACTAACCCATCTTTCTACGCCCTCATCCAGGTCATTTATAAAAATGACAAACAGCAGTGGCCCCAAAACAGATCCTTGAGGTACACCACTAGTAACTGAACTCCAGGATGAACATTTCCCATCAACCACCACCCTCTGTCTTCTTACAGCTAGCCAATTTCTGATCCAAACCGCTAAATCACCCTCAATCCCATGCCTCCGTATTTTCTGCAATAGCCTATCATGGGGAACCTTATCAAACGCTTTACTGAAATCCATATACACCACATCAACCGCTTTACCCTCATCCACCTGTTTGGTCACCTTCTCGAAGAACTCAATAAGGTTTGTGAGGCATGACCTTCGCAAAACTGTGTTGACTATCCCTAATCAAATTATTCCTTTCTAGATGATTATAAATCCTATCTCTTATAATCCTTTCCAACACTTTACCCACAACCGAAGTAAGGCTCACTGGTCTATAATTACCAGGGTTGTCTCTACTCCCCTTCTTGAACAAGGGGACAACATTTGCTAGTCTCCAGTCTTCTGGCAATATTCCTGAAGACAATGATGACATAAAGATCAAAGCCAAAGGCTCTGCAATCTCCTCTCTAGCTTCTCAGAGAATCCTAGGATAAATCCCATCCGGCCCAGGGGACTTATCTATTTTCACACCTTCCAGAATTGCTAACACCTCCTCCTTATGAACCTCAATCCCGTCTAATCTAATTGACTGTATCTCAGTATTCTCCTCAACAACATTGTCTTTTTCCTGTGTGAATACTGACGAAAAATATTCATTTAGCACCTCTCCTATCTCTTCGGACTCTACACACAACTTCCCACTACTGTCCTTGACCGGCCCTAATCTTACTCTAGTCATTCTTTCATTCCTGACATACCTATAGAAAGCTTTAGGGTTTTCCTTGATCCTACCTGCTAAAGACTTCTCATGTCGCCTCCTGGCTCTTCTTAGCTTTCTCTTTAGGTCCTTCCTGGCTAACTTGTAACTCTCAAGCGCCCTAACTGAGCCTTCACGCCTCATCTCTACATAAGCCTCCTTCTTCCTCTTGACAAGAGATTCAACTTCTTTAGTAAACCGCGGTTCCCTCGCTCGACCACTTCCTCCCTACCTGACAGGTACATACTTCTCAAGGACACGCAGTAGCTGTTCCTTGAACAAGCTCCACATTTCAATTGTGCCCAGCCCCTGCAGTTTCCTTCTCCATCCTATGCATCCTAAATCTTGCCTAATCACCTCATAATTGCCTTTCCCCCAGCTATAACTCTTGCCCTGCGGTATATACCTATCCCTTTCCATCGCTAAAGTAAACGTAACCGAATTGTGGTCACTATCACCAAAGTGCTCACCTACCTCCAAATCTAACACCTGGCCTGGTTCATTACCCAGTACCAAATCCAATGTGGCCTCGCCTCTTGTTGGCCTATCTACATACTGTGTCAGGAAACCCTCCTGCACACATTGGACAAAAACTGACCCATCTAAAGTACTCGAACTATAGCGTTTCCAGTCAATATTTGGAAAGTTAAAGTCCCCCATAACAACTACCCTGTTACTTTCGCTCCTATCCAGAATCATCTTTGCAATCTTTTCCTCTACATCTCTGGAACTTTTCGGAGGCCTATAGAAAACTCCCAACAGGGTGACCTCTCCTTTCCTGGTTCTAACCTCAGCCCATACTACCTCAGTAGACAAGTTGTCATCAAACGTCCTATCTGCCACCGTAATACTGTCCTTGACTAACAATGCCACACCTCCCCCTCTTTTACCACCTTCCCTGATCTTACTGAAACATCTAAACCCTGGAACCTGCAACAACCATTTCTGTCCCTGCTCTATCTATGTCTCCGAAATGGCCACAACATCGAAGTCCCAGGTACCAACCCATGCTGCAAGTTCACCCACCTTATTCCGGATGCTCCTGGCATTGAAGTAGACACACTTCAAACCACCTTCCTGCCTGCCAGTACACTCCTGCGACCTTGAAACCTTATTTATGACCTCACTACTCTCAACCTCCTGTACACTGGAGCTACAATTCAGGTTCGCATCCCCCTGCTGAATTAGTTTAAACCCTCCCAAAGAGCATTAGCAAATTTCCCCCCCAGGATATTGGTACCCCTCTGGTTCAGGTGTAGACCATCCATAAAGCCCTGAGGTCACTTAAGTAATTTTGATGAGTGATTTTTAGAAATGATTTAAGGGAAGGGTGAATGTTCATTTAAATGAACATAAGGTGTATCCTAGTGTGACCTTTACCAGCAGCATATCAAATCTATTTCAAATGGCAATGTCTAGTGGGGAAGGGACAGAAAGCTTTAATTTATGTAGCAGCTTTCATGACCGTAGGGAGCCCCAAAATGCTTTACAGTCTTTGACGCATAGTCACTGTTGTAATGCATAAAATATATCAGCCAAGTTGCTCACTCTTATAAACAGCAAAATGATAATGACCGGATAATCTGTTCTTTTTTTAAAATGTTGATTGATGGATGAACATTAAGCAAGACTCTGGGATTAGATCTCTCGAGCTTCTTTTAAATATTGCAGTATCTTTTATGCTCAACTGCACATAAACAGAACTTCTTCATGTCTCATGCAAAAGATGGTTCTCCAACAGTAGAGCACTTCCTTTAGTATTATATTGGAATGCCACCATGGAGTCTTAAACACACAATCTAGCAACTCAGAGCCTAGAATGCTTCTCACTGAGCCACAGCTGACACTTAGAGAGCTTTACTAGCCAGTAGTCAATCTAATTTTGAGGACCGAAAGAACTATGGATTCTGTAAATCAGGAACAAAAACAGAAGTTGCTGGAAAAGCTCAGCAGGTCTGGCAGGACCTGTGAAGAAAAAAATCAGAGTTAGCGTTTCTGGTCTGGTTTTCGGGTCTGAGGAAGAGTCACCAGAGCCGAAATGCTAACTCTGATTTTTGTTCTTCACAGATGCTGCCAGACCTGCTGAACTTTTCCTGCAACTTCTGTTTTTGTTCCTAATTTTGAGGACATCCATTTGATAATTCAATGGAGGGAAATGGCTTGGGCCTTTCCATTTATGAAAAAGTGATTTCCACTTGGTTAAGTCAGAATTTTGTTGTAATTTCCAAGCTTTGGTAGGAATTTTCTGCTTTTATCAGAAAGGTTTTACCTGCATCTGTGTATTGTCCTTTCTAGAAAGGATGCTTCGATATGTCTCAACCTCTACCTTTTTGGATTCCTAGTGTGTTAGTGATAACTTTCGTGAAAGATGATTCAATATTTTTCAAATCATTTTGTTATTTCAGGGATAAAGTGGCCAACAGATCTAATCTTCATCAGGAAACTCATAGCTACACTTTTTATTTAGTGAAACAAACTAAATACCTTATTTTAATTTTACATCTACTTAAGAAATAAAATTGAGTTTCCTTAGTGAATTTTTATGCTATAACTCAGGATTCACATTAATTTGGGGATTAAGAAGGAATAATGCACAAGAGGTCTGTATGACCGCGGTCATATCAGTGTGATCGATAAGTTTTAGGCATGTGGTTATCAAAAGCTGAAGACAAAAGGGAAGATACATCAGTGGGATATGCTAAAGCCAGCAGGGCTATCGGGAATATTTAAGGTACAACAAATTGTATTGAAAAGTATTAGATAAGTACTAAAATTAGATTTGTACACTAAATAAATGTGTAAACGTGTTGATTATCGCCATTGCATATCCTTCCATCATGCAGCAACTGCAGGAAGTAAGACTGAGCGAGGTTCTTGGTCAACTATCTGACAGAAAGAAGTTAGACCATCACTAGCCATAGCTATAGGCTCAAACATCCATGTAAACATGTGTGGTGCCACAACCACTCAGACTCCTTGGAGGGCCAGTTGGTTTGGTTCACTGGACAGCTGTATGGATCAGATGGGTGGTGAAAGCATAGGATTCAATTTCTGTTCTGGCTGGGGTAGAATGAGGACCTATCACCTTGTCCTATCTGTGGTGAAGGTCGTAACACTGAGTCAGAGCTGCCTTTGGGAAAAGAACTGAAAAAGAATATAAGTCCCAAGACACTTCACACAGTGGTTATTTGGTGCTGAGCCACAGGTGGTGCTGGGACTGGTGACCAAAAGCTTGGTGAAAGAGATACCTTTTTGAGTTTTATTACAAAAGAAAGAGAAAAGTTATCGGAAGGAAATTCATAGCATAAACGTCGACAGCTGAAGATATGATTGCTAATAGACGAGACAATTAGAACTTGTATTTTCAAAAGACTCATGTTGACCAAACCTTTTCTTTTCAGTTGTCCCTCATTATAGGATGTGTTTTGAAATTCCACTTACTTGTGTTATAGTAACTTATTTTAACTGCTTTGTTTTCTTTCAGAAGCTGCAAGCACAAATGTATACAGAACGCCAGACTACATGGAAGTATTGACAACTCAATACAATGTAAGGTGAAAAGTATTAAAAATCTCTCTTTTTAAGAGTACCTTTGTTGGAAAAGAATGGAAGAATCAATATGTAACATGCTTCTTCCACCCTCTTCAAGGAAAAGTGTAAAGTAGAATCAAGTACAGAATCTGAATCTGATGCCTGTGCCACTAATGAGGTAATTTTCCTTATAGTTTATCAGCATAAAAAGTTGTACATTAATTAAAAATGTTTGTTTCTTTTATTTATCCACTGCAGGCATTGATGAATGCAAGTTTACCAGCTTCTATAAAGAATCATGCAACAGTGAAACAAGTAAGCATATGAAGCTAAGTCGAAAGTTGAAGTAAATTTTGAAATTATATTTCAAGATGGAGTTTCTGCATAAACCAAAATGGCAGAATGTGTTGATGAACAGGATAGTTCTGTTATGTGAAGTAAATGCCTGACATGTTTCGATAAATTTCAAGTAATATAAATCTGATATTCATGAACTTTGATTTTGCACACGTGGATTCACATTAGACATTTTGCCTCCATTGCACAGTTTTCCCCACTAAATGTTAGTAGCCATCTCTTGATTGCAAGAGGCTAATTAGCACATGGCTCAGCAATATTTACCCATCATCCTTAATCTAAGAGAGCAGTTATTTTTGTTCAACTTTTTGTTCTTTTATATGCTGCTATTTCATTAACTCTCCATTAAAGAGTGCCTGTCATTTTTCTTTTATATATAATGTATATCACTCTGCTGGAGTAGCATGAGCTGGGGAAATGGAACATTTCATCTTTTGATAGGCTGTGCCAACATTTCATCTGGGAGAATTCTATGTAACGGGAAACACAAAGTTAAACTCTGCCCTGCTACGACCAAAAGGCTGAACTTTCTAAAGCTTGCAGAGTCGAGTGAGACTTCCATCAAATCACAGCTGAAGGGTTAGTATGAGAAACATTAAGTTGGTTCCCTATACTATTTTGTCAGTCTATCTCTTATCGCACTCTTAAATTTGTTTAAAATAGATTTAGTTTAAAAGCCTCAGAACTAATGGTGAATGTTTATACATTACTTTTAATCTTTTTGATTTTTTTTTCCACTGGCTTGGAGGGGAACTTGCAGGTGGTGTTGTTCCAATGCATCTGCTGCCCTTGTCCTTCTAGGTGGAAGTGGTTATGGCTCTGGAAAGTGCCGTCTGAGGGTTGTTGGTGAATTTCTGTAATGCGGCTTGTAGATAGAACATGCTGCTGCTACTGAGCGTCGGTGTGGAGGGAGTGGATGTTCGTGGATGTGGTGCCACATCAAGCTGGCTGTTTTGTCCTGGATGTTGTCAAGCTTTTTGAGTGTTGTTGGGGCTGCACCCATCCAGGCCAATGGGAAGTATTCTATAACACTCCTGACTCATGCCCTATAGATGATGGAGAGGGTTTTGGGAGACGGGAGGTGAATTGTTCGCCGCAGTATTCCTAGCCTCTGACCTGCCCCTGTAGCCACTGTGTTTGTGGTGCATCCAATTGAGTTTTTAGTCAATGATAACCCAAAGGATGTTGATATTGGTGGATTCAGTGATGGTAACAGCATTGAATGTCAAGGGGCAGTGGTTAGATTGTCTCTTATTGGTGATGGTCATAACCTGTCATTTGTGTGGCACAAATGTTACTTGCTACTTGTCAGTCCAAGCCTGGAAAGTGTCCAGATCTTGTTGCATTTGAACACGGACTGCTTCGGTATCTGAGGAGTTGCGGATGGTGCAGAACGTTGTGCTATCATCAGTGAACATCCCCTCTTCTGACCTTTATGATGGAGGGAAAGTCATTGAAGCAGCTGAAAATGGTTGGGCCTAGGACACTACCCTGAGGAACTCCTGCAGAGATATTCTGGAGCTGAGATGACTGACCTCCAGCAACCACATCCATCTTTCTACATGCCAGGTATCATTCCAACTAGTGGAAAATTTACTCCGAAACCATTGATTCTAGTTTTGCTAGGGTTTCTTGATGCCACACTCAGTTGAATGCAGTTTTGATGTCAAGAGCTGTCACTCTCACCTCACCTCTGAAATTCAGCTCTTTTGTCTATGTTTGAACCACAGCTGTAATGAGGTCAAGAGCTGAGTAGCCCTGGCGGAACCCAAGCTGGACGTCAGTGAGCAGGTTATTGCTGAGCAAGTGTTGTGTGATAGTGTTATTAATAACACCTTCCATCACCTTACTGATGATCGAGAGTAGACTCAAGGGGTGGTAGTTGACTGACTGGTTTGGATTTGTCCTGCTTTTTATGTACAGGACATTCCTGGGCAATTTTTCACATTGTCACCTGGATGCCAGTGTTGCAACTGTGCTGGAAGAGCTTGTCAAGGAGTGTGGCAAGTTCTGGAGAATTCTGTACTATTACCAGAATACTTCCCAGGCCCATAAACTTTGCATTATCCAGAGACTCCAACTGTTCCTTGATATCATGTGGAGTGAATCAAATTGGCTGACAACTGGTATCTGTAATGCTAGGGACCACTGGAGGAGGTCGAGATGAATCATCCACTTCACACCTTTGGCTGAAGATTGCTATGAGTGCTTCAGCCTTGTCTTTTGCACTGATCTGTGGGATCTTCCATCATTGAGGATGGGGACATTTGTTGAGCCTCCTCCTTTAGTGAGTTGTTAACTGTCCTCCACCATTCACGAATGGATGGAGCAGGACTGCAGAGCTTAGATCTGATCCGTTGTAGGATCACTTAACTCTGTCAATCATCTGCTTATGCTGTTTTGTACAGAAGTAATCCTGTTTGGTAGCTGCATCAGGTTGATACCTCATTTTTAGGTATGCCTAGTGCTGTTCCTGGTGTTATCTCCTACATTCTCCATTGAACCAGAGTTGCTCCCATGGCTTGATGGTAATGGTTGAGTGGGGGATATGCTGGGCTGTGAGGTTGCAGATTGTGCTGCTGTACAGTTCTGCATTATGTACTTAATATACTCACATGCTACATTTTCAAAAGTTGGTTCTCCTTTATCATTGTCTCTTTCTGAAATCTTGATTATTGTCTTCTTTCCTCCACTCCCAGTGAAAAAGTAGCCCTTGACGGAATTAAGCTAGGTACTTTTTCCCTTAAAGACCCCTGCCCAGGACACAGCTCTTGGACTGAATCATTTCTCCCTCTGATAAAGTACAACGATTCTTCTCTTGACTGGGGTAAAGCTCAAGCCGGCGGAGTATCTTCCCCTGAGTTTTACTAGTTTAGATGTTTACATGGGATTCCTTGATTCCACATGTGATAAAATGCTGCCATTGCTGATGATTGAGAGTTCACAATGCCCTGCATAGATTTGTCCTTTTTTCTGGTGGATGGGGCACATGTGTGCAGTATTTACATTTTTAGATGATGGTCTTGTAACCATTCCTACAGCTTGGCTAGGGGTGTAGCTAACTTGGAAGAGGAAATTTTCAGCATTATTGTCAGACTGTTGTCAAGGCCTATAACTCTTGCTGCATCCAATGTTCTTGATCACTGTTCTTCTGATATTGTGTGGAGTGAAGTGAGTCAAATGGCTGCAAGACTGGTTCCACCATCACAGTTGACAGTGTTTTCTCAGCTACCTGTAACAAATAAAACTTGTGAAACTTTGTTCAGTGGCACATCGGCATCTTACAATTAATTTCAACAGTGGGGAAGTTTCCAGAAATAGTTATTCAGATGGGTGGTAGATTTGGTTTGATGTGGAGAAGTGTGAGGTATTGTAATTAAATAAGGGGTGCGAGAGCAGCTCTGATGGATCTGTGAACGGGGATCAGGACGTAACCAGGAGTAGTGATGGCAGACTCTGGGGTGTTGGCCATAAGGTTTGATTTGGGCAAGTATGACTATGCCAAACTGTTTTTTAAAATTATTAATCAGCTCTATTTTGGCACTTAACATCCGATGTTAATTAGGAGGACTTTGCAAGGCTGACTGGGCTGCATGTGCTTTTCATGTTTGCATTTGGTTCCCAAGTCAGTACTAGTGGTTGGTCCTGTAATTTTTGTAATGCTTTGAACTGCTGTGGTGGGAATTGAACTTGCAACTCTGGATCATTTATTCCAGGTCTCTGGATTAGTAATCCAGTAACATAAACACTGTTACTGCACCCTTTTTGTTAATGAGTTTGAATTGTTACTAAGTCCCCAAGCAGATGAAATCTCCCGATCTATTAAAACTCATTTACAATTTTTATAAATTCATAAATTCTCAATCTCTGTTCCAGTGGCAATCCAGTATCTAAGGTTTCTTCTATTAACTCTCCTTCTATCTTTAACGTTCTATTGTTGACATACAGCCAGCATATGTTTTCTCTAGCTTTAATGCCATCTCTTTAACAGGGTGCTAATATTGTACAAAATACTCTAACTGTAACTTAACCAAAGTACTTTTACTCTATGGCCCTGTTTTTAAAATCCTAAATTCTATTGGCATTTTGTGAGTGTTTTATCTTTGTGAAAGCATTGTCTCATAGTTTTGTTTTCTTTCACAATGTATTATCTCACACTTATCCACACTTAATTGAACAATAAGAAGTAGGAGCAGATGTAGGCCATGTGAACCATCGAGATGCTCCACCATTAGTTGAGATCATGGCAGAATCTGTCAATTTCACTAACCTATCTGCCTTTCAAGTCCTTAGCAGATGTCCTTGATATATTCTACACTCCTAACTTCATATTGCCAACAAAGTTCCAAAATTTTGTTCTTCTAGACACTAGTTCAAATCACTTTTATATAGAACAGCACCAAAGTTGACTCCTGGAGTACACCTGTCGCACCCTTCCTGAATTCAGGAAATGTCCATTTGCCCTAATCTCTTATTTTCTTCCATCGTCAGTGTTACAGTTTATGGTGAGCATGCTTGAAATTTTTTTTTCTAGTAAGTCACTTCTGAAAATCCAGTAGACCATTTAGTTCCATGCACATGCTCTGTTTGTGAGATCATGACTGATGTGTGATCTAATTCCTCATATCAACAGATATGACACGAGGCAGATATTGTCTGCTAACAAAAACCTTTTCAATGTCAGTTTTTTTAAAATCTGGGCAAAAAATGCTGCATGTGGAAGAAAGCTCCAAACTTCTACCAGATTTTAAATACAGGATTGTTTCCAAACTTAACTCTTGAAAGCATTGACTAATATTTTGACTCTTAATCCTCAATAGTTTCTCTCTACATACCCTGTCTATTCCCCTTTGATGAAAACCTGATCAAATGCTAAATCACCCCTTACCCATGTAAATTCTAGGAAATATAATCACAGTTTGTGCAATCTCCTTGTATTTTAACCCTTGAATTCTATTAAGTCAATGCTGAGCTGCCACTAAGTCCAATCTGATCCTTCCAATTTGGAATGCTCAGAACTGCCCAGTACTCCAGGTGTAGCCTAACCAAGACTTTGTGTAGCTAAGCATGACTTTATCATAGAATACTTATGGAATGCAGTGCCTGGGAGGGCAGTAGAATCAAGGAACTTCACAACCTTTCAAAAAGTATGTGGATGAGTACTTGAAATATCATAACATTCAAGGCTATGAGCCTAATGCTAGAAAATGGGTTAGTATAGGTCGACCCTGTTGACTCAATGAGTCGAAAGTCTCTCCCATGCTGTATGAATCTTTCAATCTCAACAATTTTAGCCCTCTAGCTGTAAAGGGTGTATTCTGTTCGCCGTTTTGACTTATTTTCTGTTCCTTTTTATGATGTATTAATGTATCCTGAACACTCTTTCCCCTCCCCAAATCTTGGACTTCCACTCTTTCTAGCTTTTACTATTTCACAATAGTCACTTGAATTACAATCAATTTGTCAAATACAACCTGCCTTGGCTTTAAATAAAAGAGTACTGCAGATGCTGGAAACTTGAAATAAAAGTAGAAAATGCCAGACCAATTCAGCAGCTGAAAATCGATGAAAGTTTGCAACCTGAAATGTAAACACTATTTCTCCATTCACAGATGTTGCCAGACATGGTGAGGTTTTAAAGCATTTTCTTTTACAATTAATGCTATTTATTACTGAATCTATATTAACAGTCCTCTATTACACCAGGAATTTTCAAATGCTTACTAATTTTATCTGCAAGTGTTGGTTCTAAATGTCTATCCACCACCTGTGTTAGATAAGATGGTCAATAAATCAGGCTTTTAATCCAACTTTCTCTTTTGATCAAGGCAAGTACATTGTGCAAGTCAATGTGTTTGAGCAAGATCGAAAGTGTGCTCAGAGTCTCTCCTGTGTCTCATCTGGGACTTTTTGATAGCTTTGGATGGATACCACTAGAACGCTGTGACTTATGCATTTCCTATTGCAATTTTTTTTTTTTTTTTTGCAGAACCAATTCCTTTTCTAAGTTCTTAAGTGCCTTAAATGATGCCACCCATTAACACTGAAACAGTCTTTTAAGAGCATTTCACTGTTTAGTCAGTTGCCTGTCCTGGTTTGTTGACCCAACCAAATGGTGCGACACTTTCTGGGGAGAAATTATCTCTTTCCCCATAACTGAAATATCTAACATTCCAAATTATTTAAAATGAAATTAAAATCAAGATGTCTTTCATAATAATTCATTAAAATTCTGGATTCACTTGAAAACCTTAGTATCTGCCAAAAGCCTGGCTTGGGCAAGTCTTGTAATTTGATTCCATGCACGATTTTTCAGGTTACATTGATAATATTAAAATGGTCAAATTATGATCTTTTCTTGGCCTTCGACTTTGATTGCCAAAATTATTTGAAAGAAAGTAAGGAAGAAAACTGCAATTGTTTTATTCGGGGAAAATTTTACATCCAGTGTACTTCAATGATTTAATACAGCTGGTATTTATGTATTGACAGTCTTCAACTTGAGACAGATTTTGAGAGTGTTTTCAAAATCCCATCATTAGGTTAATCAGAAAACATTCAGATTGAGATTGTTAGAAAGAAACTTCCAAGAACCAATTCTAAGTAAAAGCATTTTCAGTCCCAGGAATCTAGAGGTGACACTGTTCAGATATCTTGTCACAAATTTTGTCATTCCAAGTTCCACGCTCAACAGTGATACCAAACCAAACGATCCCCCTGCACAGAGCTTAAGTCCAGGACTTCCGTTTCATTACTGAGTGGCCTTCTTCCAATGCAGCCAAACTTCTCTTTCTCGGTTGGATTAGCTAAATGCCAGATATCTATTCTCAGTTGCTACAATGAATAGAATAGAATCCCTACAGTGTGAAAACAGGCCTTTCGGCCCAAGTCCACACCGACCCTCAGAAGGTCCCACCCAGACCCATCCCCTATAACCCACAGAACCTACCCATCCCTGAACACTACGGGCAATTTAGCACGGCCAATCCACCTAGCCTGCACATCTTTAGACTGTGGGAGGAAATTGGAGTACCCGGAGGAAACCCATGCAGACACTGGGAGAATGTGCAAACTCCACACAGACAGTGACCCGAGGGTGGAATTGAACCCAGGTCCCTGGCGCTGTGAGGCGGCAATGCTAACCACTGAGCCACTGTGCCGCCCAAATGCACCAACTTGCTGTGTATTCACAGCTTTATAATAGATATAAAAAAATCTTTATATACAAATGGTAAATGTGTATCTGTTTTCACAGTATAATGAAAAGATTTGAGAAACTCATTCCCCAGAGCACCAGTAACTAAAATTACCATGCAAGATAAAATGAATTTTAACTTGGCTCTGTTTAAACCTGAGTCTGATGTTGCCTGCATGGTATAAACATCCTTGCTTTTTAATAATGGTATTTCCCTCAGTTACTGAAGAACATTACATAAGATTTGGTCATATTTACTAAACTACAGAATCTGAATGTGACTAAAGATTAGGAAAAATCTTGACACAAACCTGTGCATTTTAATGTGAACTAAATTCCCAGCTAAACAAAATAAATATTCAAACTCCAAAGAGTTTGATTTGAAATATGATTAATAGGATATAGTCTTAAGGATGGACCTAGATAATTCAATATTGTTGTGGAGAGATAAGTCTTTTATAAAATGCTAAATTTTGGTTGTAATGATTAATAGCTTCAAGTTTGAATTCATGCATTGACATTTTGCTTGCTTTAACCTTTTATTGGGAGAATGCACGACCTTATTTGTATACAGTTGCATTGTTGAAGAAACTTAAGGTGTGTGGAATCTATGACACAGTAAACCTTCTGGAGCTAATTGCTGGGTCTCATTGTGTGTAATTAGTTCTAATCAAACAACTTTTTCCCAAAATTTTAGTATTTGGATCCATATGATGGTGACTTGGAAAGTACATCAAGTGAATCGGATAGTGGTCAAGATTTTCTGCTGGATGCTTGCACTGAGAAGATAAATTATCAGTCCCACGCTTTTGTAGCAATTGACAGAAAAAAGTTGCCAGTAACACTTTACAAACAATCCTTGCAGCCAACCTTTGAACCTGAGTGTAGTTGTAAAGAGTTAAACTATGCACACATGGAACCTGTGTTCACTGGTGAGGTGATTCTACAATCTTCTAGTGAATCAGAAGTACCTTCTAATAGAGTACGTGATTTGAAATTTCCAATGAGACTTGCCTCAAATACCAAACTGAAGCCGTTTGGATCGTTGGATTTGGGGATGCTGACCGAGTCTCCCGCTGAAAACTCAGACATTGGAGAAGAACATGGATTTATGACCATGCTAGCTCTGCAAAGCCCTGGGAAACATTATCTCAGTCGTCAAGATGCCCACCTATCCTCAGGACAAATCTTAAAGACGTGTCATGAAAAAGGGATGTTCACGCCAAAGAGAAAACATGGAAACTCTTTGTTTGATACAGGTGGTGATCGGATAAATAAAAAGAAAAGCCGTGTGATCAAAAACTGAGGTAAGCCATTGTTTTGTGAGGTGGGTAATGCTCAAGTTCAAAGAAGTACAAAACCTATCTTGATTAACACTTAAATTTGAAATCTGTGTGCTCAATATGTTCCTGGGCAATGGAATTGTCTTTCCCACTTTCTGCAACTAGCATTGGAATGTTAAAGCTTAGCTCAGGTATAGTCAATACATCATCAAAATAACACTGCCTCAGCTAAAGCAAAAAAAAGTTTGATTATGGTAAGACGTTCTTTTACAACTACTTTTTACCTGAAACAGTTGGCATTTTATTTTGTTGTGACACAGTTCCATGGAGTACAAACAAACTTCCAGTACCTCTCCCAAGTTGCCAGTCTTGTGAATGCAGGTGAGGTTTGGCTGATGGAATATTATAGTAAGGATATTAATAAATTGTACAGGGTTCAGAAGATTTACCAAGATGTTGCTGGGAATGGAGGGTTTTGAGTTATAAAGAAAGGTTGGATAGGCTTGTACTTTTTTCACTGGAGTGTAGGAGGTTGAAGGGTGACCTTTAGTAGAGGTTTATAAAATCATGAGGGGCATGGATAAGGTGAATAGCAAGGGCCTTTTCCCTAGGATGGGGATTTCAGAACTAGGGGACATTTTTTAAGGTGAGAGGAGAAAGTTTTAAAAAGGACATAAGGAGCACTTTGTTTTAACGGAGTGGTTCATGTGTGGAATGAACTGCCAGCGGACAGATGTGGATGCAGACAGAGTGACAACATTTAAAAAACATTTGGCTAAGTACATGAATAGGTAAGGTCTGGGGGGATATGGGTCAAACGCAGGCAAATGGGTTTAGTTTGGGAGCATGGTTGGCGTGGACCAGTTGGACTGAAGGGTCTGTTTCCATGCTGTATTACTGTATTTGGGGAAGCAGGATTGGTACTAACAGTTGTTCTCCATAGCATAGGGAAGTTGGTGCCAATTGCAATAGTAGATACTTCTTCCAGACCAAGTATCAAACATGGATCCTTCTGTCTTTAATATCAAGCCAAAGTTGCTTTCACTAAAACGAAAGTTGCTTCTTGGTGGTGAAATCTCAGTTCAGCAGATTGAGACACCATCAATGTTGGACTTACTGGTGATGGATAAATTCATGTTTGTACTGGGTAATAGTGATAAAGTTGCATGTGTTGCTTATCCTTAGATATACAGGTGAGATGTCCTTCTATACAGATTTGGTTTAAGAAATTGCATAACATAATAAAATATTTGACAGATAGCTTTGGAGTTTGGATTTCAAAATAATAGCATATACATGTTGGTCACTTTTTTTTTCCAATCTGTGACAGAGAGCAGGTGACTGAACTTCTGGAGTGTTAATGCGATGAGAGTTTTATACTGTGGGGTTTACAACAGGGAGACTAAACGTGGAAGGTCATTTAGTTTTCATTTCAGCTGAATTTAACTAGTGTTTACAAAATGCAAGTCTTTAGGTTTGGAGGAGACATGACTAAGGTCAGAGGCATATTTAGTTTGCTCTCCTTTTTAATAGGTATAGGACGGTTCAGAAAAACCACAAGCACTTCAACAGAATGGTAATTTGCAAAACTTCCAAACCAGGAGAGTTTGGTTAGAAATCTGCAAGGTTATTAGAACTGGGAAAGCTTGAGCAAGTTGAGGTTGGCAGATCTGAACAAGACTCCATTGTCAGTCAATTCAGCAGAACTGAGGAGTTAGTGTACCTTCTCTAGCTTTGAATCTGTGTAAATTGATTTTGGAAATGCATTGTGCACATTGTTGTGCTGTGTTTTGAGATGTTTCTAAATTGTTCTATATTTAGACAAGCATGTTTTTATTTGTACATAACATACTCTTCCGTTGTCAAAAACTCCAGCCTCTTTCAGTGATTATCATATTAATTAAAATTTTAAAAAACAAACAAGCTAGATATCATTGTGATCATCATAGCTCCGACTAGACCATTTTGCAAGGTGTTAAGACTTGACAAGAGTATGGGGCTGCACTTGTGTATAGGCTGAATGAGACGACGATGGTTAATTTCCCTCCCCTGAAGGGCTTAAGAACCAGGCTGAAACGTTTGTTTTAACCATGCATCTAGAAATTGATACTGTCATTAGGCTCAGTTGGTGTGTAAAGAAGCTGATGTACTGCTTGTATACTTCAGTAGAGTGTACATTTTCATACCAGAAGTGCCATCTTATTACATACAAATACCTAGTATTGAATTATGCTGAATTTATAGTGAACTAGGGAGTATGAGATGTTTTGACTAGAGCTTAAATTCTAGATTGAATACATAAATGTACAAGTAGTAAAACATATTTGAATAGAAGTCCCAGGTCATTGCCCTACTCTTCTACAGTTTGTTAATACAAATATATACTTGCTTGTAAAGCCCCAAAAAAGCTGAAGTGAAATTAGGAATTCTTTGCTGCCGCCAGTCCTGAGATGTGGTCAAATTCAATTGAAAAAGGTTTTTAAGATAGGATAGCATGACTGACTGGAGAATAAATGCCAGTGTGGAATAGGCAGAATGCTTCATTTCTGTGCAATTATAATATTTAATACTTTGTATGTCATATCTGTAATGAGATTCTTCACTGTTTTTACTTTTTAGGATGAAGAGGATCAAACAAAATGTATCTAATTGATCTAGAGCAACTGAGAAAGGAATGTGATTGCAGTTGTACACTGAAAAGATGCAAAACATTGAAGATTTTTGAAATTAATTTCCTTTTGAAGCTTAATGTATATGGTTTGTCTAGACATTGACTTGATCAGCCTAGAAATGCATCCATTATTTAATTCATAGCCTGAAATTTACACACTTGCTACCAGTCTTTCAAACAAAAGTTATCTTCATTGTTCTTTACTCACACAAAGGGAAATGGTAATGATGACTTGAAGAAAAATGATAGAACACTAAAGGTAGCAGCTCAGCCTTTTTGCATCAGCAACTTGGCAGGAGGGAGGGGTGGAAATGCATGAAAGTGAGCATTGCCAAGTCCTGCAATTTTTCTCTTCAAATGTTCCAGACCCCACCCTCCACCCCAACCAATTAAACCTACTTGCAAGTATATTCTCTAGCAATCCATTCCGAAATGTTATTTTGTGCTGGCTTTTGTTTTACAAGGTGGTGTTCTTTGGTTTAAGATCATTTCCTCCCCCCAAATGGGAACTGTTTCTTCCACATGATTTTGAACACCACTGTGCTTTGGAGAAGCTATTTATTTTCTTTAATGTCCACTTAACTAAATCACACATGTGGAATTGATTCTGAAGACTACAAGAGATGGATGGAAGTAGAAGTAGGGCATATGGTCAAGATTATAACTAAACTGATAACACTTTCCTGCCTTTTCACCATAAATTTTGAATATATTTAAATTCCTTTCATTGAATTCTTTTAATGAGATATGCTTTGCAGCTAATCAGTGTTTGTTAGTGCATAGATCAGGAAACAGTCGTAACAATCACATTGCAGGTACTTCAAACAAAGGACAGTACACAACTTCAAGAGATGTGTGTACATGTTCATTAAGACTTGTTTAGTAATTTGTCTGCCTAAAGATCAAAATAATGTCTATCATGGCAACATTTGTTCAATCAGGTTTTCTTCCAAGCTTGGTCAGAAACTCCAAACAAATTGGTCAAGTTGGGAGTAAATCCTTTTAGTTTGCACAAGAGGCTTGTTACTTAATTCTGTGGAGCTGATGATTGAGTGCAACACAATGGTGGGAGATGACACATGATTTGAAGGAAAACTGGGTTAAAAACTATTGCTCACTGAAGAAATATTTTTGTTCTAAATTTGGCTTATACCTTTTGAATTTGTCTTTTCACATTTTTTCCTGGTTTGTAATGCATAGTCATGCCAACAGCATAGGTTAAATTTCCACAGTGGCAAAGGTCAATCCTTCTGAATCTTGCATCCCAACTGGAGGTATGATGATAGAGGTTAAATCACCAAATCGTCTCTTCAAAGATATCAGCCCTATCAATTCATTAAGACAATGATAAATTTATCTATGCATTTTGCAATTATTAACAATTTGCCAAAGACCATTATGAAACATCACCTTTTGAGGTTGCTAAAATAAGGCTCACCTGCACCAGCCTTTGGCCTCCTAACATTTGGATCTATAATTTAAGCAGCACTTTTATTCGAGGAGTCACCATTCTGCCTAGCTTGAATTACTGCTCTTTTTGAATAGGTTAATGTAAGTGAGCACGCTTTTAAACTATATTGGGCCCAAGGTTGGGAGGCGGTGATAAAACAATTCCTTCAAAATTGCTAATAATACTAGCATGGCTCTAGGTGGGGTTGTGGTTGGGTGGCTTGCCAAGCTGGTTCATTGTTCTGCAGATGTTTTATTACCCTACTGGATAATGTTAGGTTGCAGCCTCCAATGTTGTGTTTTTCTACCGGTTGTAGAAACTGAGGTCCGTGGAGCTGGATTACCTCACTTTCTGTTTTCCCTCACAATGGAGTGTATATGGGGTCGAGCTGTGTTTATTTATGGCTTCCTAAGTGGAGAACTATGCCTCTAGGAGTTCCCATGCTTGTCTCTGCTTTGCCTGTCCCAGGATCCTGGTGTTGTTCCAATCGAATTGGTGGTTTTCCTTATCCACGAGGATGGAGATAAGGGAGTATTGGTAGTGTCTTTTTCTTCGCAGTTGATGTTCGCATACTCTTGTGGTTAGTTTCCTTCCTGCTTGTCCAGAGTACACAACCTGAGCCACAAACCTTAGCGACCTATGCGCAAAGCACGCTCAAATTGGCACAAAAATGGGAAAACTGTGTCAAATGGCTGTACGTCCTACACGGATGCCTCAGGAACCAGGTATTACCATGCAGTGTGAGATACAAACACCCCAACCGCCCATAGGACAGCAGAACACAACAGCTGCAGAATGGTAAAGATAAGGATCAGCAATGCGCACAACCAGCTCCATAGATATGACAGAAATTACATACCAAAAAAAACTTTATTCCTAGAAATTACCAAGACTGGACAATGGACCAAAAACGAGCCATCAACGTCAGTCAACAGACCACAAGAACCAGGAAAAGACAGATCTTTCAGGAAAGACTAGCCAAATTAACCCATGAAAACAACAGAGCACACACCTGGATAAGAAACCTTTCAGGCAGGAAACTGACAGACGGAGAAAGCTGAGATAACAAGGTGTAGAGCTGGATGAACACAGCAGGCTAAGCAGCAGAGGAGCAGGAAAGCTGACATTTCAGAAATGGACGAGGGGGAAGGGTGATCTGAAATAAATAGGGAGAGAGGGGGAGGCGAATAGAAGATGGATAGAGGAGAAGATAGGTGGAGAGGAGATAGACAGATCAAAGAGGTGGGGATGGAGCCAGTAAAGGTGAGTGTAGGTGGGGAGAGAGGGAGGAGATAAGTCAGTCCAGGGAGGTTTCAAGCTTTCAAGCCCACCGACTCCCACAGCTACCTAGAATACACCTCCTTCCACCCACCCTCCTGCAAAAATGCCATCCCCTATTCCCAATTCCTTCACCTCCACCACATCTGCTCCCACAATGAGGCATTTCATTCCCGAACATCTCAGATGTCCTCGTTTTTCAAGGACCACAACTTCCCCCCCTCAGTGGTCGAGAATACCCTCGACCGTGTCTCCCGCATTTCCCGCAACTCATCCCTCACACCCCCTCCCTACAATAACAACCAAAACAGAATGCCCCTTGTCCTCACATACCACCCCACCAACCTCCGGATCCAAAACATCATCCTCCGATACTTCCGCCATGTGCAATCCGACCCCACCAAAGACATTTTTTCCCTCCCCAGCCTTGTCTGCTTGCCAGAGGGACCACACTGTGACTCCCTTGTCCGCTCCACACTCTCCTCCAGCCCCACCACACCTGGCAATTTTCCCTGCAACCGCAGGAAGTGCTACACCGGCCCCCACACCTCCCCCCTCACCCCCATCCCAGGCCCCAAGACTTTCCACATCAAGCAGATGTTCACCTGCACATCTGCTAATGTGGTATACTGTATCCGCTGTGCCTCCTCTACATCGGGGAAACCAAGCAGAGGTTTTGCGGAACACCTACGCTCGGTTCGCACTAAACAACTGCACCTCCCAGTCATGAACTATTCCAACTCCCCCTTCCCATTCCTCAGATGACATGTCCATCCTGGGCCTGCTGCAGTGTCACAACGATGCCACCCGAAGGTTGCAGGAACAGCACCTCATTTCACTTGGGAACCCTGCAGCTTAATGGTATCAATGTGGACTTCACAAGCTTCAAAATCTCCCCTCCCCCTACCGCATCCCAAAACCAGCCCAGCTTGTCCCCACCTCCCTAACCGGTCCTCCCACCTAACCGGTCCTCCCACCAAGTCCCACCCCCATCTCCTAGTCTCATCCCATCCCCTTGACCTGTCCCCTCCCTAACTCCCCACCTACACTCACCTTTACTGGCTCCATCCCCACCTCTTTGACCTGTCTGTCTGTCTCTTCTCCACCTATCTTCTCCCCTATCCATATTCTATTCGCCTTCCCCTCCCCCATTTCTGAAGGAAGGTCTAGGCCCGAAACGTCAGCTTTCCTGCTTGGCCTGCTGTGTTCATCCAGCTCTACACCTTGTTATCTCAGATTCTCCAGCACCTGCGGTTCTAATTCACAGACTCAACTACAAACACAGGCGCCAAAACAGAATTCCTAGCCACACAGAAGACCAATCGCATCAATGAAGAAGCACAACAAGTGATCCTGACACTGACCAGAAGGAGCGAACTTAACACTCAACACATCAGAAAGGAATGCCCTAGAAGGACTGAAAAAGGACAAGAACATCACAATACTACCAGCAGACAAAGGGCACATGACAGTAATACTAAACAAGCGGGACTACCTCTTCAAGGCACAAACACTACTAGCCGACAAGAACATACATCAGCAAGTGCAGATAGACCCGACACTACAACTCAGCAACAAGATTCTCAACACACCAAAAGAGACTCAAACAGACCAGACAAAAATCAACAAAACAGACTACCTAAGAATGAAACCCAAAGGAATTAAAATCCCCCGATTCTACGGCCTCCCGAAGGTACATAAACCGGAAGTACTCCTCAGACCCATAGTCTCCCTGCCAGGCACGCCATCACATAGGTTAGCCAAGGAGTTACAAAGGAGACTAAAGCACCTCATCAGCAAGTCACCCCACTCATTCCACTCAGCCCAGAAGTTCCTCAATTCCATCAAGGACACAAGAATAGACGATGAGACCGTGGTATCATTTGATGTTACTGCCCTATTCACATCACTAGACATACCACTAGCAACAGAAACACTAGCAACACTACTAAAACAAGAAAACCCTAGTGACACCATCTCCACAGACAACATGCTACTGGACCTGTGCCTCACCACCCACTTCATCTCTAATGGCCAAATATATGAACAGATCAACAGGACACCCATGGGATCACCTATCTCCAGCCGAAAAGCTGAAGCAGTGATGCAGAGACTTGAAAGTATGGCCCTTCTGCTAATCCAAATCAAAACTATGGATACGCTATGTGGACGACGCCTTCGTCATTATTAAATGGACCAAACTAGAGGAGACACATGAGCTAATAAAACACCACCCTCAGCAGGATCAGATTCAGAGAAAAGGAAAAGAACAAACAGCTCCCATTCCTGGACATCATGGTGGAACATAGGACCAATGGGGAATTCCTAACAAAAGGTACACAGGAAAGCCACACATACTGACCAAGTACTGAATTTCAACAGCAACCACCCTAACACAAACGAAGTTGTGAGAACAATACTTAAACAGGCAACACACTGCAGCAGCACAGAACTATGCCAAAAAGAAGAGTACCTCCAAGTATTCAAAGACAATGGATACCCAAAAAACTGGGTCAGAAGATGCTTATTCTACGAACAACACCAGGAAGATACCGCACGCCCCAGCACACCGAGCATGCTACTTTACGTCAAGAATACATCTGAACTGACGACAAGACTCCTATGACCACTGGGCATCAGAGTAGCACACAAACCCACGTCAACCCTACGCCAACTGCTCACCCGAACCAAAGACTCACTACCCACTATGGGCAGGACCAATGTCATATACAAGATTCCCTGCAAAGACTGTGACAAATATTACATTGGACAGACAGGAAGGAAATTAATCACAAGAGTACATGAACGTCAACTGGCAACAAGAAGACACGACCAATACTCACTCATCTCGTATGTATGGGTATGGGCACTAAAATGAATGTTTTAAAAAAGGGCAGCATGGTGGCTCAGTGGTTAGCACTGCTGCCTCACAGTGCCAGGGACCGGGTTCAGTTCCACACTCGCAACTGTCTGTGTGGAGTTTGCACATTCTCCCCGTGTCCCACAGTCCAAAGATGTGCAGGCTAGGTGGATTGGCAATGCTAAATTGCCTGTAGTGTTCAGGGATGTGTAGCTTAGGTGGGTTATAAGGGGATGGGTCTGGGTGGGATGCTCCAAGGGTCGGTGTGGACTTGTTGGGCCAAAGGGCCTGTTTCCACACTGTAGGGATTCTATGTATGTATGTACTCTATGTATCTCCGTCCACATGGATAAGGAAAACCACCAGGATCCTGGAACAGGCAAAGCAGAGACAAGATTGGGAATTCCGACAGGCTTGGTCCTCCGCTAAGAAAGCCATCAATAAACACAGAGCTAGACCCCATATACACTCCATTGCGAAGGAAAGCTGGAAGTGAGGTAATCCAATTCAAATGGACCTCAGAGTTTAAATGACAGGCAGGAAAATAATAGCGCTTCATTATAGGCTGCACTGATGATGTTACCCAGCAGAGTAATGAAACGTCTGCGGAACAATGAACCAGCTCAGCAAGCCAATCAACCACAATACTAGCATGGCTTTGAACACTTCGAGGTAGCACTGGACTATTACGCCAGGTCCCTACAGCATTATTGATTTTTACCATCGTGTGTACCACAGTACAGTGAGCAGCTTTGTTTATGAGCAGTACAGGCAGATCATAGTAAGCAAGGATGTGCAGATCAAAGGCTCTAGAAAACTAGACAGGTATAAGCTTACATTGCACAGGCTATGCACTAGGGGAGATCAAGGTTAGCAAAATTGGCATTATTTCGGGCTAGACATTAGTCTAATAATGGCCCAGAAGAAGCTGTTCCTGAACCTGCTGGTGCAGGTGTTCAGGCATCTGTATCTTCTGCCTGATGGAAAAGGTTGTGAGATCATAACCAGGGTGTGATAGGTCTTGTTAGCCTGGGTTCTGGATTTAAATCCCACCATGGTA